TGAAAGTACTCCTGGAAGATGAGAAATGAACAGGCTTTTGCTATTTGAAGATGTGAAGGTTGGGAAAAGCTTCAGTAAGGAGCTCTCACAGGTCAGCAGGTCACTAGAGGAAGCGTTAGTGAGAAAGTGTTTCTAGCAAAATCTACGTTCAGTGTACTTACTAAAAAAAGCGTCTTGCTTCCTACCTGCATCCCTCCCTGTTGTCCAGGTGGACGTGGTGTTTCTAGTTTCTTCTCTGGATGTGTTTGAGGGAAGAAGGAAGGGTTAAGGTGAAGGGTTTTACTACTGTTCAAAGCTTAGCTCTCTGGGAAGGGTGGAATCAAGTCATCAGCGGTGTGACCTTTCCCCAGCTCCTGACGGTAATTGCATTTCAGTACAAGCCCAGGCTGCAGCCCCAGGAATAATTGCAGTATTTCAGGAAATAACCTTTTGGGAAGCTTAGAAGACAAGCCAGGTCCAGTTTTCATGGAGGCTCTGAAAGTATAACACGCAGGTCTGCTTTTCTCAGATTAGGCTGAAACTGAAATCCGCGTTGAAGATTCTCCTGGAGTCCTAGAGTCTGCTTTCATCAGTTTATTATCAAGTCCGGAACACAGGGAGGACTTGTATCAAATGGAGGGAAAGAATCGTTTCCTTAAGAAGCAAATTTTAGGTTCCTTGTAATAGCTTATCTTGTTGGGGGAGGGGAGCTGTACATTTGCAAGCTGTGGGGTTTGTTTTTGTCGATCTTTGTTTTTGAGTATTTGAAAAGATGATTCAAGCAATACTAGGCGAGGTGTGCAATAATCCTGTCAGGTAACTATGCTGGCGCTGGACGGTTGGAAGGGAACTGTCGCAGCAGGTTGCTTCTGTTTAGGAAGCTGAGCACAGAGGTGCTTTCCGAGGCGCATGTGTGATCATGCAGTTGATTGAACATTTGGGCTGAAGAGCTTAACTTTATCAGGGATGGAACTGGATTACCCAGAGTTCCCGTTACCCAGGCTGCAGCCTCCGCACTGCGGTCTCCCTGCATTCCCTGTAGCCAGGCAGTTTGCTCATTTTCACTGATCGGGCCACATGCAGAACTGCCTCTTTCTTTAAATCCCAAATGCCCAAGTTGCCATGTGGAAACCAACTCCCTAGCAGTTCTTTTTCCCCACATTTAATTCTTCGCTTCGTGTCGTAGTTTCATTGTTCTGCACTGGTTCCCATGGCAACAAGTCTGTTGGCAGAGAACGGTGTGACTCTGCTTTTAGCCTTCTGCACAATGCAAAATACTTCTCAGGCAAGTGTCATATAAGAAGGCAGGAAGAGATCCCAGTTCCCTGCTAATGCCAAAAATCCCTTATCCTCTGGCGTGCACCTTGAAGCCTGTCTCCGAACCAGGCTCACTGGCCAGGGAGGACAGACAGCGCTGGAGGCTACTGCCCAGAACCCTTCGGCTACTCGTGCCAGTATTCACAGCCCTCCTGGCCAGAGTGAACCTTCTGGTCCAGATGGCTTTCCTCCACCCAGGGTGATGGTGACCGACTGACATAAACTCGTAACTAATGGAATCCACTGGGGGCAGCAGGGAAAACCAACTTGCCCTCACTTTTCTGTGAAATATCATCAGTGTGCATCTGAAAGCTAGCCCAGGGAATAAGTATGTCCTACACTGAGCCTTAAAGTGGTGTCTAATGACAAGAGAGTGAGGATAGTTAAGCAGCTTTTCTCCTGAAGAGTACATGACACAGAAAGGGAAGCCAAGGCATCGTTCTGGAGTACTGAGCTCCTGAGGAGAAGAAACTCAAAACAAAAGGTGTAGGTGCGGGTACCGTAAGTGGTGGCTGCATGCAGAGGTGCTCCTGCTGGAACAATTGAGTGTTTAAGAAGGCAGGAAGAAGCCTTTTCCTGAAAGGTAGGGAACTAGAGTATGGAGAAAAAGGGGATTCTGAAGAGTTAACAGTTTGAAGATCAGGAGCCTAAATACAAGACTAGTTCAGGCAGACTTTGGCCCGACTGGGTCTGCAAAATGTTTCCACAAATACTATTTCGCTTACTAACCGATTATGCAGCTTACTTGTTTTAAACTTTAGAGCTCCACTGTAGGTTGGCACTAGAAACCCCGAACTCCTCTGTCCTCAATAGTCAGAAAAAAATAATAGGAACTGTTCTTCAGAAATTAAACAGGACTTATTTGAATGTGTGTATAGTTTCCTTTTTATGGTTTTTGTTTTTAGAAAAGTTGATGAATTCAGGGGAATGAATATAGACGTTAGATATAAAATGTGGTTCACTATAGTTGAGAAAATGATCACATGTAAATTATCCCTTTTTTGCTGATACTTAAGCACACTGAAGTTTTAAAGTTAGCTGCTTATATTGTACAAAGGTATTTTTTGGCTCTTTAGAGGTTATTTTCCTACATTAAGAAAAGTTTTCTTATATTACAAACTTTTATTGTGACTCAGGTTCTGTGTCTACTTGTAGACACGCATACATAGGAAGGTTTTTCTTTGTTTGCACAGCTGAAGTAACTGAAGTTAAGCAATGCCAATGTGCAGGTCAGCTGACCTTTATGATAGCTAAATTAAGGAAAGCATTTGACAAGTGGACTGAATAAATCACATTGTATTTCCTTGTATATCTCTCTACACCTCCTAGACTTCCCCAGGCCTGGACTGAAGATTCTCTCTTATTTAGCTGGGAAGTCTTAGATTATTTTTGTGAAGTCCATAGGAAAACCAAGATGAAACTCTCAGGCACACAGAGTATAAAGCCGTTCCCATATTGGCTAGAAAAGTAACTTCTTTTCAGGATGTACTGTTGAAATATATTTATTTTAAATATTTGTAGTGTTTCTACTCAGAGGACTCTCGCTGGTCTGGAAATGTGGGAAAGGCATCTGGTTCAGGTCAGACAGAACAAAGTGTATGTTCAGTTTTCCTTTTCATAAATCTTTTAGCTTTGATGACACCTAGTGTCAGTGGAATGCAATAAATGTTTAATACTTCTGCTCTTTGACAATTAGGCATTTTCCTTTGACTGAATTTTCCTTCTTGAAAATGAAAGCCTTACTGTTTTTTGTTTGGAACAGAAAGATAAGTGATAAACTATGTAGTTTTTCTCTGAAGAGCCAATCAGGTTTTTTGGTGTGCTCCTGTACAGAAGGGACAAACAGAGGCTTCAGGATGGTGCCATTGCCTACAGAGGAGTTCTCCCAAGGTAGTGGAAAATCAGGGGTAAATCTACTGGCTTGTGAATTTCAAAGACCATTACAAATGACTTTGTACAAGTAAGGGTTTTGCAAGCTTACTGTAGTTTAGTGCAAGTATGAGTGTTATGCTTTAATTTTTCCCACTTTGCAACCCACTCAAGTGCACTCCCCACCCAGCTGTGCATAAGTGAACCCTAAGATGAACTACGGTCTTATTCTACCTAGAGAAGAAATATTAAGCAGAAATGATTGTAAAGGAAGATAGTGATAGTTTTCTGAAGATAGTGATGGTTTTCTGTTTGCTAAGAATTTAAAATGAAAAGATAACACGTAATGCTTTTAGGTTTTAAGTATCTATGAAAATTTTTTCATTATCTAGTTAATTACTGATTATTTATTTATTTTTTTGGAGCATTCTATAAATTTCTAATTCCTCCCATATAAATTTTTTTTTACATGCCAGATTTTCCATTTGAGATCATACAGTTGTCAGTGAAATATTTCACTCTCCTGTAAGTTTATGAAAAATTCCTGATCAGTGATGCAACTTGAGTCATTATTTTAGTCAAATGAAGACCATCTCGGATCCATATTCTTTCGCATCTAACTTCACTACCATATGTGCAGCACAACAGCGACATCTTAAGGCCAAGTAACCAGAGCTGTAGTCAGAGAAAGATCTGCAATTGGGAATCTGATTTCAAAGAAATTCCATTCTACTATCAAGTAGTTTTCAAATTTACAATATGTGATTGGCAGATAAGGTGCTTCTTTATTTATGACTTCTTTTGCGGTCTCTGTGAACATTTTAATGTGCATTAGTAAACACCGACATTTTACATAGACATACTGTATATTAATGCATGCATTCCACAGCATAGTTTACTGAGACTCCCCTTGTAAAGCTTTTATGGAAAAAAAAAAAAAGCCACAGCAGCATAGCAAAAGAGGCTTAATCTTTATAAATTGGGGCCTTTTCTGTCTCTTTGCTAGCCTAGGTGGCGGTATACAAATTCGGGCGGGAGGGGGCAGGAAACACCTCTTAACGTTTAAGATTTTCTACTTGGGTGTACTCTAGCCAATTCCAAATAAATTGCTTACTTTAATAAAAAATGTTTTACCATTTTATAAAAAAAAATCAAACCATGACATGTTTAATTGAAATGGCTGTATTGTAATTAATATTTTGAGATAATTGTGATTTTGAGCTTAAAATTATATATAAAATACTGTCATTTTTGTATGTGTTAAAAAGACTACTGTATCATGATTAACAGTACTTTTTAGTTGAACTACATATTGATGTAAATAAAACTGAATGAAGACATATTTACTACTTTATTAACATAGATGGTGAATGTACTTAACGGTTTTTTTGCAGTATGAGACCATAATGACCTTGAAAGCCGCTTCATTTTATGTGCAAAGAAGTCCTATGAATCTATATTTTAAATTTACAGAATCAGTGAAATTAATTACTTTGTCAGTTAATTTGCAAATGCAAGCTGTATTCGCCAGTTTCATTTTCCGTGCTGACACTAATCGGTAAAGGTGTACAATGTGATCAGAATGCATTTTGAAGATGCTTTCTGTACAGATACAAAACACAGGGACTAAACTAATGCTGTGCAGCGTATAGCAGAGCCATTTTCGGCTTTGGTGTACTCAACTTTTTCAGTATTTAAAAAAAGTGTTTTGAATAACATAAAAGTCTCTTTATTGTATAAATAATAAAATGTCACCTTATTGTAAAGTGTCTTGTTTACTATTAGAGTTGTAACATAAAAAGAGCATGTTTCTTTCAACACAAAACAAACACTGATTGATGTTTGAAAAATGTTTTTTATTATCAACATGTAGTATCCATCTTCATTAGCAATGATGTTTTTCATAATTTAAACATGCGTCAGTCACCCCATAGCTATCTAAATCACATCTATCTACTGATACACACGCTACTGAATTGGGTACTTGGGACAAGCTGTAGGTGTCACAATGACAGACTGACCTACTCCTGATAATTTCAGTGTAAACAGAACTGGTTATATTTGCCTTTTATTAAATCAAGTTTATCCATGTTAAATTCCCTTTTAGAAAATTATTGCATGGCTGTTGGTCTTCTCAGCACAGCAAACAAATTTTAAGATTAAAGTGCTGGAAATGAAAATGATACACAAGGTTGCATCAAAACACACCCACAGGCTCATGAAGTATGCAAATACTTGTCCAATAAGTACTAAAACAAAACACACGTTAAGGTTGCTAAATGCTATGTGTTATAGTTTTCTGTAGAATTCATAAAGGAAGGTCTTCAATATTTTTCTTTATCAAGGGACAAAGACATTTAAATGCTGAAGCTCTGACTGAGGGGGAAATGCGCAGATCTAACCTCTACTTCTCATGAAGGCAAAAGTGTTGCACCACCATGTGAAAACATGAAGACATTATTTAAAACAAACCGTCAAGTGTTAGCGGAGTTTCTGAGGAAAAGCGGAAGTACCACTGCTTCTGCGGCAGCAGTCACAACAGGACGCTCCCTTTTCCTCTGATAACTACACCTTTGGCAGCAGTCACAGTAATACTTTCATTTTTCCTTCAACTGCTACATCTTGAGAAGCACTTCTGTGAAATCAGCGACCTTGATGAAATGATTTTCTAAGATAGAGAAAAGACCTATTTCTGTCCCTAGAAAAGAAACATGTCAACTAGGTTAAAATAAAAACCAGGCAATGTTAATTGAAAACTTCTACTGAGACCGGATACATCATAAAAATCTTACCATGGGTAACAAAAGTCTTATTCTTTAAAATGTCAAAGAACAATATTCAATAAATCTGATTTTTATTTTATATCTAATGAAAGGTATAAATTGGCTAGTCATATCCAAGACAATTGGTCACAGTAAATAGAATACAAAAAGAAAACAAGGGGAAAAAATCCAGTTATACAAAAACGTCTTATTATAAAATGTTAAATCATATTGAGCAAAGCTTTACTCTTGAGGAAAGTGTGTATGACGCTAAGGGAAGGAAAACGAGCAGGAGAAGCCCTGGGAGAACACTTCGTGACTCCGCGTGGGTGTCGGCACTGTCCAGACACAGCAGCGCTCAGAGAAATGGTAAGTAACTGTGAAACGACTAGCGGCAGTGAGGACAGCCCAGGCCAGTTCCGATGCCAGGTGACCCTGGGGACTGCAGGACCGGCGATGGCCATCGCTTCTAGGACGGTACTGGAACAAAACAATGCACCCTCTAAGCGCTAACCTGACCGAGGCTAGACGTATCTCAGTCTAAGCGGGAATTCGGTCCCTCAGGTATTCCAGGATCGCAGCTGTTCCCTTCGTCAGTATGGCTGCTCGAGGGACGCGGAATGGGTTTCCATCAAGCAGCAATGTTCTAAAACGAAAGAGAAACTGAGAACTGTAAAAAAAGATATTTTTCACTATTGAGATTTTTTCACGAAAATAAATTTTCTTGGCAATTTTATAAATAAAATCTGTATTTTTTATTTGTCGCTTTTCAAATCTGAGCATTTAAACAGTTGGAATTACAAGTACAGTGATCACCCAAATGCTATTAACTGAGTAATTATTATGTGAAAGGTACTGCACTAAGCTTCTGTTACTGTCTCAACTGTCCTGACCATCCATGACGTAGGCACCACTAACATTCCCGATTCACCGATGGGAAAACACACATTTAAAGAGGCAAGATGGCCGTGACCAACATCAAACAGCCGCTGAGTGGTGGAACTGAGAGATGAACCACCGGTCTACCTGGCCTCGACCTTACACTGGCCATATACCAAGTGAACAAATAGGACTGGACAGAATGAGCAGGCTGACGGCACCCACCCTGCGGAGTATAATGTAATCAGCGTATCGTAACGTGAGGCCACCCTCTCCCCCCGGCCCAGGTACACACACATAGACAGATACATACACAGATATTCTATGTACATATTCAGCTAAAGACTTAGGGGCTAGTCCTTTTGTTCCTGTATACAGTTACTCGAATACTCTCAATTAGAAGACTTTTCATTAATTTTTATAATTTAATTAATACTTTATAATATAATTAATGTAAACAAAAGTCAAAGGACTCAGGCCATATTACACAGTTGATCTAAATTATATCTTCAGATCTGTTTCTTGGGAATTCTTTCAGAGATTTTTTAAATTTCTACAAAAAAGCAGTTAATTATAGTTGAACTCCATATCTGCAGATCCTCCTACTCATTAAATTTGTTGGAAACCTCAAAATCAGTATGCGTGGCATTTCTGAGGTCATTCGTGGACATGCACAGAGCAGCGAAATGTTTGCATTACCTGCCCAGTGTGGTCCCAGCCGGCGTCAAACAAATTGGTGACCTGCTTTCATGCTTCAGTTCATACACTGGAAACAAATGTCTTTTCTGCCATACATGTAATGCCACGTTTTGCTAACTCTTGTACCTTTTTTGTTGGTGATTTTACTGTTTAAGCTGGCCCCCAAGTGAAGTGCTGAAGTGCTGTGTAGCTTTCCTAAGCACACATGTGCCTCGCAGAAAATACACGTGGTAGGTAAGCTTCATTCAGGCATGCGTGGCCATGCCATTCATGCAGCAGTTTCATTCATGCTGTCGGCCATGTACTCCATGTTAGCAAGTGAAAAATAAATACAGAAGCACACGCAAAACAAAGTGATGGACTGATGGGCCAATGACAATGCAGCTCAATTTTTACAGCGACCTAACCCTCTACCCGCCTGTGGAACAACGGTTCAGTATGCATTCATGTGGTTCACGGTGAATTTCTAGGGCAGAACTACAGCCAACAGTGAGAATCGGCTATACTAAGAGTGGCAGAGCAGATGCTGTGGACCCAGTGAAGGAAAATGTACTAAACAATTAATATTCAGATTTCAATAATAAATTCTCCTGATACATTCTGCTTAGCTAACTTTCCAGAAACATCTCAGCTTCCTTTATATTCTCTTAAACAGCACTACTGTGTGTTTACTGTGTTCTAGGCACCGGGACAACTCTTCTCCGAAGAAGTACCCAAAAAATGGTATAAAAAAAGTCCAGAAAGAACATAATGGGAAATCAGAGTAGAATCTAATTCTGTTTGGAGAATGGGGCAAGTTTTCACAAAGGGGATTGGTAGGCTGATGTCTTGGTTACTTTTCTCTCATTGCTGAGACAAAATATCTGATGTCCAGAATCAAGGAAGGAAAGGTTTATTTAGCTCACAGTTTGTGGAGGTTCCACAGCTGGCTCCAAAGCAGAGTGGCACATGGCACAGGGCAACAGTTCATGGCAGCAGAAGACAGCAAAAGCAGTGAGAGCAAAAGGGAGGAGGAGCCTCTTTCCCTTCCTTATACTGTAGGCAGGCTGCCCGCGGGTGTAGCACTCACACCCATAATCCCAGCATTGGACCATGAGTCAATCACAAACTCTAGAAGCGTGCCCCGCCCTGTGATTGCATGGGGCTTTGAGAGGACATCTATACACAAACCGTAACAGTTGATTACTGATGAAAGCAGGGTAAATACTGAGGGGAGGGCAGATGTAAAAAGAGAGACCATGCTGGGCTTGAAATGGTGAGGGTCTGCGATCAGATCTCAAAAACCCTTTGTACAAAGCATGTGTCTGGCTAACATTTTTCAGGCAGTAGTTTCAGATTATAAACATATGTAACAATGAGAAAAGTACTACTAGAAATAATTAGGATTTTTATACATATATAATACTACATAAACAAACCTAAAAATACTTGGTAAAATCTGAAAACCAGAATTGGGCTTCTGAATTCCATTAACTGTTATTTTTAACAGGCTACTAGGTTCCTTCAACTTTCTCCAAGATTAGATCATGAAAAAACAAACCACTTCAACAAATATAGTCAATAAATGGAAAAAACTCAGTAGATGGTATAGTTACCTCAAGCTCACACAATTCCCAAGCTCTGGTGGAACTTGTAGAAGGTCGTTATTCTGAAGGTCCAGCGTCATCAGGTTTTCCATCACCTTTATTTTCTGAGGGCTCAGAGACCCAACCTGATTGTTACTGATCAGAATTGTCTCCAGCGCGGGGATATCATACAGAACTTCCGGCAGAACTTTGAACCTATTAATATATGACCAGAGCACCCGGAATCAGAAGGGAAGTCTTTCCCTAAAATAGGTGATCTTAAATTTCGTATCATGAAATAATGCTTTCTTTAATGTATTCTACTTATACTCAGCCTAAGTCCTACATTCAGATTTTCCGGAAAACAGGTTAATTTTGGAAACCTTGCAATACATGCTGAGTGGACAGAGAAACAAATTATGGCTCACTGTGTAAGAATCGAACCAAGGCTCCGAATCAGGTCTCTCATGCTTTTCCGTTCGGAGTCAGGGCATCAGGACATTTGCTTGGGATTCTCTACTAATGTTCTTACACAGGTGATCTTCCTGAGGCCTTCGCTTCTTGCCAGGCACTGCCAGTGCGCTAGTCACACCTGAGGGCTGCATTTACTTTGAGCGAGGCTTCCAACAAGCAGTCTGGTTCTGAGGACAGGCCAGGCTTCCCCGTCCGGTCTCCTGCGGCCCAGTTTCCTGAGCCAGGCAAGCCTGAAGGTGGCGGGGAAGCCAGGAAGCCGGTGGCGCTCAGAGCCCCGCTCTCAGCTGACACAAAGCCCCGGGGCGAGGCCGGTGCAGTTTCAGCACGAGGTGAACTGCAACGTGGACCAGGAAAGGATGGGCTGAGGGAAAGCTTTACAGCTGTGGTCTCTTCCCTTCCCACATTCCCTTTCCTTTCTCTGCTGTTCTGATGTGAAAAACCGAACCCAGCAATGCAGGGGAGACTCCAGACAGCGCTGCAGCCGCAGTGGCCCTGAGCGGCTGGTCACCTAGAGCACAGACGGAGCAGCCGGCCCCGGAGGCCTCTCTCGCCCTCACCGTCCTCCCACTGAGCGCAGTGGCCACGGAAGGTACCCCTCTCCGTTAGCACACGAGTTTCTGCCGCCTTCCCAAAGGCACTGCCTGCATGTGGCGTGACGGTGTGTGTTGTCTCTTACCTATTAAAGGAGAGATTGATCGTTTGGAGTCTTATCAATGACTTCATTTCTTCAGGCAAAGAATGTAAAAAATTGTTCCTAAATTAGAATAAAAATAGATGATTTACAATGTTTGAAAACTTCCACAAGTTTATTTATAATTAAAATTTCGAAGAGAAAAAATACACAGATGACTTTGTGGGCATGTAACATTATCTCCTTAAGGCTGAGTTCTGAGAGCTTCAAATCTATCAGCGCATGAAGTTTTTGGTTAGTGCCACACTGCAACAATAACATATAGCCACCTTATGATGAAGTCAACTTTTGGATACTAGATATAATGGGGTAAACATCGTGAATTAATTGTTTAAGGCCTTCAAATTGAGTTCAGTAAAACTTACAACCTGGGCCCTCCAGATCATGTTTGTAATACTATATGACATAAATATCCTCTTGGCGTTAATGTATATGTCTTGCACATAGATATGAAACTGTACTCCAAGAATTGAAAAGTTTCAGGATAAAATGAAACAGGAGGTTAAAGAGAGTCTGTATGGTTTGAAATGTGGACCTTTCCACTCAGCAGGTATTACGAGGGTCCTTTCTACTCTTAGTCTGGAATTGCAATTTGTACAGTGCATACTTTTTAAGATCTGACAATGACACAGGGATACAGAGAAGAGCATGTGTTGCTGAGAGGGTCAGGGGCAGTGTGAAGATGCCCTAACAGAAAGGCAGGACGGCAGAGGCAGCGTAACGACCAAGAAGAGGAAATCGCTGTGATAGAAGTATTTGCACCTAGATGGGCATCTTTTACAATGGAGTCATTCTCCTAACCGATTTCTCTGGATAGCTGCTAAGCCCAATAGATAAGTCGTAGTTTCTATATTGCCTTTGTATTTTCTGCCGTCCTTTCTTATTTTCTCTGTACTTTTCTACAATTATTGCCCATGTTATACTGAATAACACAAAGCTGACTGCTAGGTTTTAGTTCCTACAGTCTTATACTTAGCTTCTATTAGACAGGAAAGTAAATTTTTGTCATTTAATTAGCCCAAGAAATAGAGATACAGTTTACAAATACAACTGTAAAGCCCAAGCATATAAATGACCACCTAACGTGAGATACATGAACCCATAAAGAACCATCATACTTCTGATTCCATTGTTTCAAACTGGACCTGTTCAAACTTTCTATTACTTTTACAGAGCCCAAAACATAGCTTCTTTTCTTTTTGTTGAGTCATAATGTTCTGTATTACATCTTGCCTTGTATATTCAATGTAACATTTAGAGACCAAGGAGGTTCCCATCAGGGAAGCCAACAGGGCTGGGCCAGAGCTACACTACTTCCTTCTAGAAAGAAACAAGGGGCTGGGGATTTAGCTCAGCGGCAAAAGCGCCTGCCTGGCAAGTGCAAGGTCGTGAGTTCGGTTCCCGGTACCGGAGAAAAACCAAAAAAAAAAA